GGTTTTTTTGGCCACCAGTTTCCGATTCCATTATACCAACGATAGACATAAGCTTATCAAGCTGGTCGTGCTGTCTTGGGGACAGGTACTCGGACTTTATGTTTCATCTTGCCGAAAATAGATGACTTGGCTACAATTGCTAGCAAGTGCAATAAAAATGCTGTGCATTTGCACAGAGAAATCTTTAATTCTAAGAGTTCAAAGTAACAAATGCACAGAGATTAGATTTTAAAGCTCATTAAATTTACACCAAATATATATCTTCTACTTATCCATGCTAATAAAATGTCTAATTTTCTGTCATCAATTCCATCATCTTGATAAATTCTGACACTTCGATGCAATACAATTGCACCAAATGTTGTAGGAAAAGTACACAAGATCACATTGCTTGTCTCGTTACAATCGAGATACTTGAGAGGCTACCGGTCTAGCTCCTGAGTGAAGCGTACGAGGCCGCGCTTTGTGAAGTTATTAACACGAGCACTATGTGCGAGGTGGACGGCAGTTCCATTGCATCTCAAGCGTGATATGATATTATCACAGTCTGCCATCGTAGCTATTATTTGTAATACTTCTGGTAATGCTGCTTTGAGGCCTCTGTAAACGAAACATAGTTGATACGATAGGCAGAGAACATTTACCGTTAGAGGTCGAATCGATGCACTGGTGTGTGGTAATGAATCGTTCTCTTTAATGACAATTGATGGCACGCCATCTTCGTCTCAGTTATAGTCATCATGGTTGATTTGAGCGATTTGGCTTATATCCACATCGACTGAGAAGAATCTACTGTCTGACAAAAAGTGACATCCGACAAATCGAACAGTTGTAACTGTAGTGATGATATCGGGTTAATATTACGTTTTTTTGGTATTGACATCAGCTGTACCATTGAAAACCTTAAAGATGTCTGTAGAAGAATCGCTTAATCGGAACGAAATTCTCACGAACACATAAATAATGGTGTAATCGGATACTCATAACGAAGCATCATGGGTCGAAGGTATCAGATTCTGTTTATGTCATACAATTCTACTCAATTTTCAACGTCGCAATATGGTGTGTATCAGTGATAATAATACTGCAGCACTGAATCCAAAGTTGAAGACTGTTTTTAGAACCAATGAGAGTTGCCACTAAGGCCAAAAAAAGGCCAAATAGCGCCTTCAACCATCTGAGCACGCAAGGGGGGGGGTCGTCGGTTTCTTTTCAAACTGGTAAGGTAGGCACTTTCCGCTCGACTTCCATCTCGACTCATAACGTAATTTGCGTTCAAGTAGTCAAAAGATTTTCAATTGACTGATTATTTCTCCCCCTCACGCTTAACGCCGCGATGAGCACCACGAATATTAGGACCGCTCCCATGAAAAAAGTGTCGACGCTTGGGAAGCGCAAGAAATCCATTGATGGTATGTTCGTTTGACGTCTGAATAAGTAACTTTTGCGAAACTTACCAAAGCATATGTGGATGCAATCATCAGCCGACAATGTGAAGAAAATTGACAAGAAGGATGAGTTTGACCCCAACCAATTTTATGTCTCGCTTACATCGCACGCCGAGCAATTTGGTGTTGAGCCCATTCGCGTCCGGGTAAATGTCGCGTTTACCCATTTATGCGTTAATGCGGCAAAGCTTACGTTTTAAAATTTTCTACTGTTTGCTTTGATTCAGTGGGGGCATAAGGAACCTGACGTGCGCGGCCCAATTATAGGTACCAACCGCCACCACAAGTATCGTAATGCCATCGGCGCACACGGCGGCTCGTATTGCATTTATCGAGGTCTTGCAGTTGCTTCAGGCGCGATCGTTAAAAATGCCAAACCCGACCTGTCCGAGACCACACCTGCTGCCAAGATAGGCCCTCATCCATCGTGGGCGGATCCTGAAAAGATAGTTACAATTGATCCATTTGGTGCATGCGTGGTGGAAGCCTTTCCTGAATACTACCAGAACGGTTACGACATCCGTCCCACAATTGCCGTCACCAAGGCGCACATGGACTTTCCGGAGATTCACGAAGCTGTGCGTCTTGGTCGCCTAAAGCCCGACGGCAAGGTCTTGACTAAGTCGTCGCAACTCGTCATTACGAAAGCTGCCATTGACCCAGTATGGTACCTTCCAGGCGTGGCCAAGCGCTTTAATACGACCGAAGCCAATTTGCGTCAACAGATTTTTCAAGAAACAAATGGTATGTACCCAGAGCTCGTGACTAGAAACGATTTAAAGATATTTTTGCCACCGATCGGAGGGTAAGACCGCAATGTCTTAGGGTAATTTAAAGGCAGACTAACGAATGGTGGCTGGCTGTTGATACAGCTTGACAATTTACATATTTGGATCTGTTGAGGCCATTTCGGATCCTTCAAAAAAATTGGCAGTGCGTGTTCACGACGAATGTAATGGCTCGGACGTGTTTGGGTCGGATATATGCACATGTCGACCGTATCTATCCCACGGTATTGAAGTTTGCGTACAAACTGCGCAAGAAGGAGGGTAAGCCGCATTTTCATAGAATATTAGTCCAGAAGAAACTAATTGTATCCACTGTATTGCATTATTAGCACCGGTATTATTGTATACTTTCGCAAGGAAGGTCGTGCGCTGGGCGAAGTAACCAAGTACTTGGTGTACAACTTACGGAAGCGCCAAGAAGGTGGTGACAGCGCTGAAGAGTATTTCAATTGTACTCAGACGGTGGCAGGTATCCAGGATGTGCGCTTCCAGGCGTTGATGCCTGATGCCTTGCACTGGCTCGGTATTACCAAGATTGACAAGTTCGTATCGATGAGCGACATGAAGTACGACGCAATTGTATCATCTGTAAGTTTCATGCA